AAATGGCAAAGTCTCTCTCTAATTTTAGAGAACAAGTTTTCTGAGTCAGAAAATAGGAGGTTTTCAGAACGGAACACAACACTTTGGCTGGAGAGGGAGAGAGGGAGAGAGGGAGAGAGGGAGAGAGAGGGAGAGAGGGAGAGAGGAGAGAGGAAGAGGGAGGGAGGGAGAGAAAGCACACGCGCACGCAGGAGTTGGTTATGACACGTTGCAACTCAATTGTGTTACTGTGTTTTGGGAGAAATATTGTTATCTGTTAATTTTGCAACTGCATTTTTTTAATCTGCCTTTTTTCCCAGGTTCATGAATGGCAGGGCAGATTTTTACAGTCCAAGCTAATTTTTATTCATCACTTAAAATCCGATGGATTTTAATTATTATTTTAGACATTAGAAAACATTAGTCTGAGAAGGGATTTCACCAGGGTGCCAAAGAGGCCTCAGGAACACAAAGAAAGGTTAAGAGCCCCTGCTCTGGACACACTCATTTTCTGCACTTAACATTTTAATACAAGAGGTTAACGATATCTTGATGTTAATCAAAACATTAACCCCCCACCCCCTACCCTAAGCCTATGAGACTTGGGTACAGTTACCTGTTTTACAGATGCTTAACTGGCTTAAACAATACATCAACTACAATATATACATATATAGGTCCTATGTTCATATTTTTATAGGCAGTTTCACTTACAGCATAATTTATTTTAGGTCAAAGAATAAGTGTGAATTTAATAAAGTTAAAAATTATAATATTCACTTGAAGGAATTAGAGGGGGTATTTATTTAATATGTGATACTGTAAAACAAACAACCAACTATGGAACTATAGTTATCACCTCACCCTAATCCTAAATCAAGTAATTGTGGATTTACACTCTTTTACTTGTTGCATTAAATCTCTTAAGTCTTTACAATCTTGTACATATTTATTGAATGTATTTTTTACTTTTGTTGTGAACAGTTTATTAATATTCTCAAGAAGACTGGCTTCAGAATGGAAACTTTTCTTCATGTATTCAGGCAAAATGAAGCAGTGCCTACCATTCAGTAAGAGGAAATACACTAGTATCTAGGTTTTGACACAGCTGACATTTACTATATTGAATCCTCCCAACAGCCCTCTGAAAAGGGTGTTACTTCTACCTTCAGATTGAGGAGCTGTAGGCACAGAGATATTGAGTAACTTTCTCAATATCATACAAGGTAGATCCCAGCAGTCACACCCAGAACCTGCTCCTAAATATTTGATTGTCCTGTTTCTCAAGTTCACTATTGCTCTCCCCCTGCTCAGCCTCCCCCTCCTCTCCCTTCCCCTGTCCCTCTCTCTTCTCTCCCTTCCCCTTCCCCTTGCCCTCCCACTCCCTTTCAGTCTTCAAAGATGTGGGTGCATACATAATGTGTATTCACAAGCAGCTCATCTTTCTCCTGCCTGATGTTGATATCCTGTTTACTTCCTCTTTCTAACTGGGCATCATTGGCAGCCATGTAAGTAAATGCTACTGGGTCAAGGGCTAGAATCGTCCTCATGGGATTGCCATCCATGGTTTATTGGTCATAAGCGTCCTACCTCCAGGCTAAGAAGGGTAGATTTCTTGTTGAAAGTCAAGGCAGTGCTTTATTTAGCACCTGGCACATACGAGGAAGGGCTTAATGAGTTTTTATTGGAGGAAGATCGGACTAATAATTTAAAGATCCAGGAGGGCAAGTAGAGATGTAATTGATGGAGGTTGCAGATTGCACCCTTTCATAATAAAAGACTAGATTTCTGTCAATATCTGGTCAATATATGGAATTGTACAGAAGAAACTTAGGGGGAATCCTAGCTAAACAATGTAACCACAATCTTTGCTATTTCTTTCTTGTGATCATGTAAGAAAACTAGGCTTGTATGGAGACTTGGACTTTCTAAAAATATGATACATTTGTGAAATGCAAACTATTATGAAGAGAAATTGCATCCTAGCCAAGACTTCCTTATTTCACTGCCCTTAGTTACAGCCTGCTTGCATCTGGACCTCAACGTCTCCGTTTTAAGTGTCCTAAGAAATTATTTGTTCGTTTAGCTCTGATGCAGATGAAAGAGTGCAATGCTGTCTGTCATTCAGTTTTTTGTCAAAACACCACTTCGACTTCCAGCTTTGGAGCTGAGTAGTTTAAAAATCTGTACACAATTAAAAATGTTTTTTTTTCAATTTAAAAATTATTGTATATAAATATTGATATTCTCTTTTGGAATAAGTTGCATGGAAGTTACTTTAGTCCAGTTAAAAATCTAATCCTTTTTTTCTTTGTTCTCTCGTTTAAAGATCATTTTCAAATGGAAGTTGCTGGTTCATATAATATGATTTATGGCTCCTTAGCAGGATCTCTCTTCCTTCCCAACACAAAGGACAGAATAGCTGTGGCCTCACTAGGTCTGGATTCCTAATTCCGCCAGCGCGTGGTCTGTCCCACCCTACTATGTCCCTGGCCAACACCCCCTCCATGGCGCTGCCCGCCGCCGGGCTTTGCGCTAGAGCCTTATGCGCCGCCAGGGGGCGCGCGGGTGCAGCTCGCGGCCGCCGGCTCCTGCAACAAGGTTCGGCTGTCTTCCTGGCCGGTGTGGCATCTTCATTGGCAGAGAAGTGCAAGAAGCTTCTGCGTACCGGTGCATTTGAGGCCGCGAGGATTGGTCAAGACGACCTGAGGCCTTCCCGCGGGGGAGGAGGGGTGGGAGGGCGGTGCCCTTTTCTGCAGCTTGTGGAATTCTGGGGCCAAACGCTTTTCAGGAATTTTTTTTCCCTTCTTGGGTGTTTACTGCTTTCTAATTTTAAACTATCCAACGCTCACCCCTCCACCCGCTGCACTTGGTCAACAGCTACAGAACTGCGCTTTAGACAAAAATGAAGGTAGCGAGGGATGACTGCCATCGAGCTGAAAGCAGGGCTGAGGCCAGAGGCGGCCCACCCTTTACCATCAGCAGCCCCAGACACCCCCCAGGCTGCTGTCCCTTGGTCAGTAGCATGGTTTTGGTTTGGGGTTTTTTGTAGTAAAACATACATAACAAATTTTACATTTTTAAATGTACAATTCAGTGGCATTAAGTCCATTCACAGTGTTGTGCAGCCATACTCCTATCCATCATCCCAAACTGAAACTACCCATTTGTGATGTTGTGGTTTATGATAAATACATGTTTAGTCTTCGTCCTGTCTCTGGCACAGAGCTCTTAAAACCCCTGAAGGTTTCTTAGTAACAGGAGCATTAAAGGTGTCTTTATGTTAATAAGGTGACTTTTGGAAGGCACAGGATAGAGAGCTGGTTGCCAGGAGAACTGATGTGTGATTAGAGGGTTGGAACTTAGAAGCCCCATCTCTTGTCTCTAAAACTCAGGGAACTATTTAAACCTGGCACCTGTTTAACTTGAGAGTAAAATTAAGGCGGCTATTATTCATTCATTTGTTCAACAAGTAGTTACTAACCCTACTAGGTGAAGGGCAGTGTTCCCATCTGCCCTGGGTGGGGTGGTTATTTAATGAGTCCAGGTTTCTGTCCTTGAGATGAAGTTCCTTGGAAGTAGAGGAAGTTGTTTACCTTTGATGACAATGCAGCACTTCGTTAAAGGTTCCAAGGGACATGCAAGCATCTAGAGTGTGTTGCCCCTTCATTACCGCCTTGTGCAGGTAAATCCCGTTAATTCCGTGAAGCAACTCCAGGACAATCTGTTTCCAGAAGAACTGGTTTAAAATCCAGTCTTGGGCCAGCCGAGGGGCGCGTTGGTTAAGAGTTGNCACCCCTACCTCCGCCTCTATCCCGGCCATGCACGCGCCCCGCGCACTCACTTGTAAGGGACCGGCCACTGGCGCCGAGAGGGGCCGCCCGCCGCGGTCGCCAGCCAGAGCAGCGCCAGGGCCCAGCGCCAAGGCGCGCGCCCCAGGGCCGTGCCCGCGCCGCGATGCCCCCCGGCCCCCGGGCCGGTGTTACCCGCCTGCGCCATTGAGGCGGCTCCCGGTGCTACCGGCGCCTCGCAAGCCCGGCGACCGCGGAGGGCCGGCGAACCGAGCATGCGCGGAGCCACTTCCCCGCCCCGCGCGAACTCGGGACACTGTCCCCGGTCGGCCTGGGGTCCTGCCCTCTGTCCTGCGCCCGCGCCGAGTGCTCGGCCCCTCCCGGCGCGGGGAGCCTTCCTGTGCGTGAGGCAGCAAGGCGGCCGTTCTTGACAAGGCGCCTTGTCCCCTCTCCCGCGCCGTGCACGTTGGTGGCTTCGAAACTTCGCCGGCCAGGAAGGCGCTTGGGCCCAGCCCCCCCCCAGAGCGCGCCTTCGGGGCTCGGGGCCTCTTCTTTCTCTGACCGGTTCGTAATGCCTCGGCCTTCTCGCCTCGCGTCTCAGTTTAGAGACCGCCGCTTCCTTGGAGCGTCTTCTCACCTCCGCCCCTTTCACCCCCCAACAACCGCGAAAACCCAACCAAACCAGGGGCACAAACAAATCCAGCTTCGGGCTCCTCTCTACCGCAGAACTCTTCTCACCCCGCCCCACTGGGCCCAGACTGGTGACAGCACACATGTGAGTGAGGGAGAATCTCTCTTGGCAGTGGGGGGTGCCATGAGGCAGACAACACTGGGGGAATGACGTCCTCGGCGGGCCTGAGCCCGTGGTGGCATCGGCCGACAGTAACAATATACAGACGGGCTGCTGCTCCAAGCGCTGTGTAGCGCACCCCCTTCCGTGCTGTTCGTCCTTGTTTGGATCTACCACTCGCGTGGGGAGGAAGAGCCTGCCTTACTCTCTCTCTTGGACCGGTCAAGCGCCTCGAGACTACCATGGAACCAACCCTTCTGCTTTGGGCCGGCCACGCTGTGATGCACACATGTTGACTTATGCCTATAAATAGAACATTAAAGGCGTTGCCACTGACAGCCATTTGTTTCACAGGAGAGCAGACTGCTGAGCTCTTAGACCAGAGTTTTCCAGCGCCTTCACTTCAGCCACCACATGAGTGAACCATCGTAGTGGTAAGTATACTGGAATAACCAAGACGGCTGCAATGGCCCGAGTTCACCACCATGACCTGTGAGTGGGTGGATGGGGGGTTGGCTGCCCCCGGCCTGCCAGGCCTTCTGAGCGCTGATGGCAAGTAGTTCTTGCCATCCTGGTTTGCCTGGGGTCGAGGGCGAATTATAGCCCCATTAGTTACCCCCTCCCGCGCCCCACCCATCCCCCCAATACCCTTGCCCACTTGCTGCACCAGGTTGGGAAGCTCTGTGAAGGTTCAGGGAGGGCTCCATTTAACACCCACTTATCTAAGCATTTAGGTGGCTCCAGTCCTAGCCCTCCATATACCACCCCAGTTCAAAATCATCAAGGCTAAACTGACCTCTTCAAAGACCCACCTGAGATGAGAGGGGAGCACGTCCTAACCATGAAAGCTGAACTGGAACGCTTGAAAGGCAGCTGCAGGATTGAGTGTGGACTAGTACTTAAGCTTGAGCATGGTTTAAACCGAGAAGCAACACGACAGCTTTTACAAATTATGGGGCCATACACTAGAGGGCCCCAGTGGAACTTCCATCCTTTTCAGAACTTGCCCGAGCTACACAAGTAGGGTTCAGATTGGCCTTGGTGGGTGGTTGGGAACTCCTCTCCTGGGCCTGAAACTCTAATGGTGAGAAAGTATTCCCTAACTCGGTGCCATAGTTGCTCCGTCTGCTGTGGTCTGGCTCTGCCTTCTGTCCCTCTTGGCTGTGACCCCAGCACCCCAGGCTAAAGATGCTTGCAGACTACTGTTGCCTGATCCCTCCTTGCACTGGTTACTTCTCTCGACCCCACAGTTGTTAAACCTTAAGGGCCCATCGATAGACTGAATTTTAATCCAGTTGGTTTCCCTTGGGTCCTTGCCCAGTGAGTCTGAGACCACTAACGGGAACATTCCTGTAGTGTGATAAAAGTAGGTTTATCACCCATTGCAATGTGGGAGATTGCACACCAGAGGAACTGTGTGGCATTCCCCCCAAACAAAGGAAAAGATAGAGTTATCGGGTTCTGAGGTAGGGTGGGGTTTAGGTGAGATTTAAATGAACAGTATTTTGGTAGGCCCCCAGCAAAGCAAGGCTGCGTGTCAACACACAGGGCCAACGTGTAGTCTAGACTACAAAATGAACCCAGGATTCTATTTCCTTGGAAAATATGAAGTTCAAGTCAAGGTAGAATTTTGTGTCTGTCTAGGGACCCCTGGGTGGTAGAGGTTGTAAACTGAGACCGCTTCTCTGTCAAGTAACTGAGATTCTCTGGGCAAACGTGAGATATTTCATTCTTACTAATATAATTTAAAATGGCAAAGTCTCTCTCTAATTTTAGAGAACAAGTTTTCTGAGTCAGAAAATAGGAGGTTTTCAGAACGGAACACAACACTTTGGCTGGAGAGAGAGAGAGAGAGAGAGAGAGAGAGAGAGAGAGAGAGAGAGAGAGAGAGAG